CCGTGACCACATTACCTACGCACACACAAAAATTTAAGTTGGGATCTCGATGGGATGACATAGAAAATTCACGAAAACTGATTGAGGCCTCTTGTGTCGCCAGGCTCGGCTCGCCATTGGCAGCCGGCTGATGGGCGCGCGGATTCAAACAGGCTGCTGAGCACCGAAACAGTTTTCGTGAATTTTCTATGTCATCCCATCGAGATACCAACTTAAATTTTTGTGTGTGCGTAGGTAATGTGGTCACGGATGTGGGACCGTCGAGATTTTTTGGGGCACCCTTTAACGTTTGAAGCAAATAAAGAAGATAAATAGCGAGTCCCGCGTCTCCTAAATGTCGTTTTATCTCTTGTATTATTTGACATATATGAAATTGGGCAGCGGCGATGGAAAGCCCTCACCTTGTACTATGACGCTGCACAGGTCGCTTTTCCGCAGGGCGGGCGCGCGCGGCGCCGCGGGCGGAAAGGCGCCTCGAGGGTCACTTGGTGGTGGGGCGGAGGGCCTTGTTCTCAACGCTCCTGACGCGACACCGTTTGAGATATCACAAAACGGATTGCAGCACCTGGTGCAGCTACTCAAGGGCTACATATTTCGCGAATAAAACGCAGGTCGAAATTTTTACGTCTTTTTGGCGTGGATAGCGCCACGTGTGGACGGGGTGACATGCTTACTCGCTCGGGGTCAAGTGCCATGCATAGACAGTAACGGTGAGAATCTGCCACCCATCACTCCCCTAGATATATTCTTCAAAAAATGTGTAAATTTTACAAATTGAAAATTTAAAGGTTTTTAGTAATATTTTCTGTTTTTAAGAAATTAAAGTTTACTGCTTGTGAGTCTCTGCGAGTCTCTCCCACCCTTACCATCTTCGCCACTACCAACCACCGACACCGCACCACCTCCCGCTGGCTCCGCTCTGACCTCAGACAAGCAGGCAATGCGACGGAAGCACCCCCCGCGGGTTTCTTGTTCCTGTGCGCGTTATCATCCGCTACATGACCTGAGGAGGGGACGCCGGGCGCCAGCGACAATGAGTCGGTGGGACCGTATGGCTGCTACTGGGGGTCCTGCGCGGAGCCTGCGGAGCCCCGGGCTGCAGCCCCCCTTTCCCCTTCCCCACCCCCTTTTTTCTCCACCGCGCATTCTTTTTCCCCCCCTTGTGCTATAGCTACCCCCAGAGTGGCCCGGGGCGGGCTGCGGTGTGCGGCGGGCTGCTGGCAGGCTGGGAGAATGCGCGTTACAGCGGAGAGGCCACTGCACTGCAGGGGGGGGGGGGGCAGGACATTCATGTTTGAATGGCGTAGCAGAGGGGAAGGGAGTGGGGCTTATATGGACCACGACGCTGCTCAGGGCGGTGCACCGCCGCAAAGGGGGGAGGGGGCGCAGGCGGCACCACCACCAAACTATTGTTCGCCGCGTGTCCTCCGGCATTTTGTGGAAAAAATTTTTCTGAATTATTGACGAGCTCCCTCTGCTGCTATGTGCGCAGCGCAACTCACCTGCTGCCTGGTCTCGGCGCACTTCTTGGCGGAGAGCTGGTGCGCGGAGCGCAGCGACGACACGTCCTGGCGCGCCTGCTGCAGGTCGGCGACGGCGCGGCTGTGGTCGGCGCGCAGCCGCTCCAGCTCGCGGCGCGTCGAGGCGGCGTCGGCGCGCGCGAGGCGCACCTGGGCGCGCAGGTCGTTGCGCTGCGCGCGCTCGGCGCTCTCGTTGTGCGCGCGCGCCAGCTCCATCAGCTCCGAGCGCAGCTCCGACAGCGAGGCCGTCACCCACTGCGCCGTCAGCTGCTCGTTCTTGCGGCCCGTCGACGTCTGCACGTCTTGCCTGCGGACGAAGAAAAATAAACAATCAATTGTCATTCGCAACCACCCCAAAAAAAGTACGTACTAAAAAAATAAAAATAGAAGAGGGCGAGCGAGCAGGGCGTATTGTTCTCGCCTCCTCGTAAACCTTGCAGCGGCAGGTAACGCCCGGGCGCGGGGGCCACCTTAATAACAATCCAAATACGACTCAAAGTTGGCCAGTAAATTTCCCCCGGCAACTCTATTTCTGCGTCGGGGCCGGCGGGGGCGCCTCTGGGAGCGACGCACCACCACCACCACCACCACCACCACCCGGGCCGGCCAGGCCAGGGCGGCAGGTCCGGCCCGGCTGAGAAACAATAACGAAGAGTTATGGCGCGTACCGTACCGATGGCACTACACGCGGCACATCGAACCCTCCCTCCCCGCCCGCGCACCTTCATCCCTCTCGATACGCCCTCGTTGCGGCGCAAGGTGGAATAAAATTGTTGCCGTACGAACTCCCTCCCTCCCTCTCTGCCTGCCTGGAGGGTGAGAGGAAGCGAAGCCCGTATCGCTTCCCGCCTTGCCGCTATGCCGTCCCGGATGCCAGCCGTGCGCCCGGGTTGCCTACCCGCCGGGCGGCCCGGTCCCAGCAGCAGCAGCGGGGCGGGCGACGATGATACCACGGCGCTGCTGGGGCGACTCTCCTCCTTCCTTAGCCACCAGGTGCACTATATCATTCTTCATCGGCGCCATTAAAAAGCAAGAGACGTGTTTAACGACAGGGGGAGGAGGGAGAGAGAGAGAGAGAGCAGGGAAGAGCTGCTGGAAGGTAAACGAGTACTACGAAGGGAGATGAGGGGAGGAGGGCGGGGCGGGGTGATGCGGCGCGGGGGAGGCGGTCGGCGGCGGGAGCAGCACTCTGACGAAACTTGCTAAAGATGACAGCATCAATATTAATGACGGCGGGGCTTGGTGCGGCCGCTGGTCAACGGACGGCGCATTACAAACGCCCCCGCCCGCCCGCCCGCGCGCCGCACCCTGTGACCCCTGACCTGCGTCAAACTTTGGACAAGGCGCGATAGCCTTGGTGGCCTTTCTTCCTCCTCCCTCCTCCTCCTATGGCGGCGTGTGCTCACCTCCTCCTCACGCCGCCCGCACCTTCGCCCGCCCGCACCACCCGGAGCAGCACCAAGTTCCGCCCTTTACTCACCCCGTAGCAGCCGAGCAGTACAGCGCCCTGCTGCTCGGCTGACGCCGGCCGGCCCCGCGGCGGCTCCACGCCAAACAGGGCCCCGCCCCGGCACTTTAATCTACTTTGGCGCGTTCAAAGTCCGGGGCGGCTCGCCTTGCTCCGCGATGCGGACGACGTTGGGGAGGGAGGAGAGGGTGGAGCAAAGGGTGGTGTGCAGGTGGAGAGAGGTATTTAGCATTAGCACCTCTGTCCCGCCTACACCGCCCTGCCCCACCCTACCCCGCCCCGCCGGGCCCCGCCCTTGTGTATGTGCGATACTGTAGTGAAACAGGCCGGGGCTCAATTTGCATGACGTAATACGCGACGCAGACGCGGCCCCTATGTCGTGCCCATGCCCGCGCGCCCCGGCCCCGGCAAGCGAAACTTGACGCGCCCTGCTCGTCGAGCATTCCCCCGCGCGCAGAGTCTCTTCCATCTCTTTCCGCGCGTTATATGTGTTTCCCCCGCTTCCCTCCCACACACGCCGTGTACACACACACACGGGCTGTGTAAAATATATACCGGCGTCCCTCTTACTTTTGCAGTCTCTCTCTCTCTCGGGGTTGGCGGCACAAGTTGGGGGAGAAGGGTCCACCCCCGGCCCCGGCCCTTCCGCCGCCCCCATCCCGGCAAGGGCCGTGTGCATGAAGTCAGCCAGCTGCGCCTTGCGCGGCTCCTCTACGTGGTCGTGACAAGCGCCAGCACAAGCGCCAGCCTGGCACAATGAGGGCCTTATTGTAGGAGGGGGGGGGGGGAAGATGACTGCTGCTGCTGCTGCGGCTGCTGCAGGCGCCGGCCGAGCACGTTGGTCTCTGGTCTGGTCGGCCAAGTTTGCGGGGCGGGGTGCGGGGTGCTCCGGCCCAGCCCCTGGTTGTACTCGCGGCCCCTGGCGGCAGCCCCCTAATGACAGGAGGGCTCTAAATGTGCGTCGCCGCACAGCCCTCGCCGCACACACACTGGCGCGTCCGCCGCTCATTTAAACTACACTCCCCGACACTCTCAACCCCCTGCTCGCCTCCTCCTCCTCCCCTATCACCACTCGAGCCCTTGCTGACACTCTCCAAACAGCACCCCCGGAGGAGTTTGTCTTCCTCGCCTCTGCCGTGACGCCGCGGCGCCCACGTTTTCCCTGTATCAGGCCCGGAGGCTTATATGGCCGCACACGACGGAATAACGCCAGTACACACGGCAGATGGCGTATGACTTGCCAACGACTACATATCGAAATAATGACGTCGGAAAGCTCTCAATGTGTCCGTTTTCGTTAAGTCACTTCGACATCACATCGGACTGAATGAATTATTTATTACTTTCCATTTGGCTGATCTGTTCCCTATCTTTCTGGCGTTGTCCCCGCGTGACCGCGTTCTGCCATATCCGAGGGGGCAATAACTCTGGGAATCATGTGTACACACCGGCCCGGGAATCAGGGGGAATCAATGAGAATCACGACGGGAATCAATGGGAATCACGGATTCCGGGAATCATGTGTACACTTGAATTCGGAGTTATTATTGCCCTCTCGGCCATTTCGAACGACCTGCGTCAGCGTCGCTACGGCTGTCGAACTGTCCCCCCGCCCGCGGCTGCTGAGCAGTCTGACACCCACCAGGTGGAGCTGAGTTTGGAGCCAGGCGTCTGCTTCATTTAGCTAGAATTTCCTCCTTCATGATGATGATCGTGTGCCTGCAGGGCACGAGGACGATGGGGCGGCTCGGCGCGGGCCGGGCGCCCGTCGCCCTCATCCCCCCAGATTTAATACGCATCATTTTGCTTCCGCCCCGCCGCCGTGCTGCTGCTCCTAAGCGGTGCAACCCTTTGCCCCTTGCCCTCCTACCCC